TTTGGTGTGCCCCAGCTACATGGACTCGACTTTAGCCACATCCAAGAAGTGGGTTATGGGGTTGGAACTGAGGGGACGTCCTTAGTACACTGGGAGTGGTCGGCCTCTCTGCTGCAGCAACGATCCCAGAAGCAATTGTCTAACTGCAAGGAGAGCTTAATGAGACTCTCTAAAGTCAAAGGAGGATCTCTAGGAGCCAGCCTGTCCTTGAGATCCTTACTCAGGCCTTGATGGTAGGCAGCCATGAGTGCAGCATTCCAACCACTCTCGACCACTAGAAAGATTAATTCAAGTCCACCACTGACCTCCTCTCCTACTGTATGCAAAGGAGGCAAGGACCAGAATCCTCTCCACTGACTGGGTTGTCAAACACATAGCGCAAAGATCAGTGAGCATTGAAGTAGAAAAGCTACTCCCTGGATCCACCACGTGCCTTTCAGGAGGGGGTAGTTGGGGTTCGGGCCAGGGGCTCTGTTCACCAGTGGTCTGGTGGGCTGGTTGAGGAGCAGGTGTAGGAGCCGCAGGGGGTGCTACTGCAGAAGGTGCTTCAACAGGACCAGTCTGCAGAGCTAGGGTTAATGTCTGCAACTGAGTCAGAATCTGTCTACCAACCATAGCACGCTGATTGGCCAGAGCTGTTCTGAGTTGTTGCAATTTCACACTTAACAAAGATCAGAACGTCAGAAGGTAACAGACTTTCTTATCACAACAGTCTATTTTCCTCCCCTTCCACCGCAAAGGAGGTGGAAAAAGGTGCACGGGAGCGCTCTTTAAACAATGGGCTCGAAAACAGGAGAACTTGAACTCCCACCTAAAAACTACAGGGGGAGGGATAACAAAGGACTACATGGGAAATAGGCTAGCATAAAATGAACACCAACTAAAGGTTCCTTAACTAACAAACAGTTTATTTAATAACAAACATAGTGAGAACGTAACAGACTGTATCACAACTCTTTATTTTCTCCCCCCATTTGTTTTTAAAAGTACAAACAGTGCAGCTACTCAAGAGGAAGACAAAAGGTCTCAAGAAGCTAGAAGAGAAAACAACATGCGAGAGAAAAACCCTCTGGTCTCTACGCAAGATATCGTCATTTGCAAGAACTTCATACAAAGAAAGAGCAAGGCTGAAACTGAGCCGTGCTCTTAAATAGGCCGTCCCACAGGTGTAGTGGATCTCCCCTGACTAGGAGCAGCCCCACACTGCCCTCTGGTGGCTGACATGGGTTGAGCTCTGGTCCTGGCCCTTACACACATGCTTTCAGGACTGGGATAGGGCCTGCTACAATGAAAAATAAAATAAAAAAAAACAACAAAAAAAACACAAATTTTAAATCTTAAAAATAAATAAACAAATGTAAAAAAACAAACATCAATAAACAAGTCTTTTAATGCCATTAATGCCTTTAATTTTAGAAAGCAATATAATCTTATTGTGGTATCGGTGGTGAAGAAGAGACAGAAAAAGCCATTATTTCTGCTAAAGGAAATGCTTTTTTGTTGAAGAAAACAGAAAAGACAACCGGATTACAGTGAAAACAGGGGAGAAGGTCATTTCCAACCATAACACGTAACTCTACAGTAGACTCTAAACCCAGACCAACTAACCCCCAGGCCAACACAATAAAACACAGTTATCTATAAACTGGCTGGCAGATGGCACATAGCACTCCCCTTAAGGGTCAGCCAACCTGGCGGCCCCATAGTCTGAACATGTGGCAGGGCATCCAGGCCATCACCAATTACAAGTCATCTCCACCTCCACCTTCCAGACGCGCTAAACAACTTCTATGTTTAGTTTGAAGCACAGAATGGCACGACGGCGAGGAAAACCACACCTCCTCCAAGTGAACAGGTACTGTGTCTGTCCACAGCTGATGTGCGGAGAACTCTACACAGAGTCAACCCACGAAAAGCTCCAGGATCCGACAGCATACCGGGCAGAGTGCTCAGAGAATGCGCTGAACAGCTGGCTGATGTTCTCACAGACATAGTCAACATCTCTCTGAGCACTGCAGTTGTTCCAACGTGCTTCAAGTCCACCATCATCATCCCTGTGCTGAAGAAGTCTCCAGTGTCCTGCCTCAATGACTACCATCCCACTGCACTCACTCCAATCATCATGAAGTGCTTTGAGAGGCTTGTCATGAGGCACATTAAAGACCAGCTTCCTCCTTCACTGGACCCACTGCAATTTGCATAATCGCCCCAACCGCTCAATAGATGACGCCATCTCCACCACACTCCACCTGGCTCTCACCCACCTGGACAATAAAGACACTTATGTCAGAATGTTGTTCATAGACTTCAGTTCAGCATTCGACACCATCATCCCTCAGCAGCTGATTGGAAAACTGAGCCTGCTGGGCCTGAACGCCTCCCTCTGTAACTGGGTCCTGGATTTCCTGACTAAGAGACCTCAGTTAGTCAGGATAGGTAATCTCCAGCACCACCATACTGAGCACTGGTGCCCCTCAGAGCTATGTGCTCAGTCCGCTGCTGCTTACCCTGCTGACTCATGACTGTACTGCAAAGCACAGCTCAAATCACATCATCAAGTTTGCTGATGACACGATTGTGGTGGGTCTGATCAGCAAGAATGATGAGTCAGCGTACAGAGAGGAGGCTAACAGACTGGTGCAGAACCAACAACCTGTCTCTGAATGTAGACAAAACTAAGGAGATGGTTGTTGACTTCCGAAGAGTGTGGGGTGACAACCCCCCACTTAACATCACTGGCTCTGCTGTGGAAATCATCCAGAGCACCAAGTTCCTCAGTGTCCACATCACAGAGAACCTCACCTGGTGCCTCAACACCAACTCCATAGCCAAGAGAGCCCATCATCGCCTCTACTTCCTACGGAGACTGACGAAAGCTCATCTCCTCCCTTCCATCCTCAGCATGTTCTACAGTGGGACTGTGGAGAGCATCCTGAGCAGCTGCATCATTGCTTGGTTTCGGAACTGCACTGCCTCTGATCGCAAAACCCTACAGCGCATAGTGAGGACAGCTGAGAAGATCATCGGGGTCTCTCTCCCCTTCATCATGGACATCTACACCACACACTGCATCCGGAAAGCCACCACCTTTTGAACTCACAAGGACGCCCCCCCCACAACACACACACACCACTTTTGATGCTCTATCTGGAACATTGCTGCTAACACTGTGTTTACACTGTTTTACTACCTCAGTAACTGCCGTGTTTATGTATGTTATCTGACGTAACTTCACAGTTACGATCACAGCATGTTAAATATGTCTGCACTTCATGTCCAGAAATCTGTGCTGTGTCGGTGCTACACTGTCCTGTCTGTTTACTGTGTCTAATGTCTCTTTAATTTATTGTATTTTTGTATTGTTTCTAGCATAATTTTTGTTTGCATGCTGTCTGCACATTTGCACTTTGTAATTTTGTACTTTTGTTCCTTGTTGCACCTTGTTCCTGGAGGAATGTAGTTTCACTCCACTGTGTACTTGTACATAGATGGAATGACAATAAAAGCCTGGACTTGACTTGACTTGAACAAAGTGTGTGAGGTGTGGGTTTCAGAATGTCTATTGTCCTGGCAGACACAAGTGCTGCGGAGCACCTGCTCCATGGGTACCCCCAACTCCCTCAGGGCTGTGTCTCTGGTGTGACAGCACTTGCTGGGCTGGTGGGGTCTCTTGTTTGTGGGGCTGGTATGGGCCAAATCTGTCTCTGTGGATGACAACAATCCATCGCCCGCCCAAACCCGATACACCACCTTGCCAGGCGCTCTTTTACCATGCACAGGCCTTCCTATGGTGACTGGAGTTTCCCTTCGCATGGCATGGGTTGTACAGTCACACCCACGTCCCAGGTGCCCGTGCCCTTGTTCCTAGTGAGTTGATGCATGTCTTGGAGACAGTAGTGGAGCCCCTTGGCATACCCTGCTACAGGTATGCTGTCCTCCTCCGACTTCGGCGGGTGAACAAAGACCAGCCTTGTGGGTGTCCTGAGCGCGCGGACATGAGCTGGTGTGAACCTGGTTGACTCCTGCACGACTGAGGGACATGCCAGCAGGAATGGGGTAGATGTCAGTCCCAACTGCACCAGTGCTGGTCAGCGATGATGGTGAGCTGAGTAGGGGGCATTTGATTAAAAAACTCCACAAGGCTGTCACTCTGAAGAGGGATCAGCACAGTCCAGCCAGTCACTGACCCCAACTAGCTGGTCACACTCTTCAACTAGCAGCTCCACTGTTGAGCCTCCCTTCTACTACCATCTCCAGTGTATTGTGGTGTTGGATCAGAAGAGGAACCAGAGTATGCCATTTTTTTGCTCAAAGAAAATGCTCTTTTATTGAACATGGCAGAAAAGGCCTGTGAATAGCTGGGGAGGTCAACTCAAGCCATACAACTTCACTCTGTGGTTCAGAATACCTCCATTATCTTACAACTGAATTTCAGGATCTATAGTTGAATAAAGGACTATATTTGTGGATATCTTAGTTGGCTTTGAATAACGTATCTTCTATTGTTCTATTTTAGTCAAATCCTTTTTTATAGAATTTTTATAGCATTTTCAGAGTCAATAAACTTTACAATTTCAGTCAGTTGAATATGATATATTGATATGCAGTCATGTTCTTTATATTCAAATACACAGCTTGCTGTATGCTAGTAAGGACAATATGGGTATTTTGGAACTTTTACAAAATAGAAAGTAGGCATATGAATATTTTGGTATATGTCATACACAGGTTGTGGTAGGTTTTGCTAAGGGAAATGAGGTCAGGTGAGGTGAGAGGCCCATGCATGAAATTTTCAATAGGCCAAATATTCCTACTGTCACTCCTGGCAGGATACTGTTAAAACTTGCTGATAGTGTGCATTCCTAAAAAGCAAAGGCAAAACATGTGGAGTCACATGAAAGACAGATATTATACATTAAGCTGAAATAATTAGTTACACACGTGTAACACAACTGTGTTACAGAGTGTACATCACAGTGTATCAGTCTAGGATATGTTTTTTCTCTTCCAGCAATGTGCCTTTGATCTAGTGCCATATTTTAGAATATATTGAATATGGTTTAACTTGCAGTAGGTAGACATCACATGTGCATCATTCATACCAACACATTGTTAAGGTGCAAATTTTCATGGTTGGCCTCTCCACTGAGATACATCATCTATAACATACACTCACAGCTCTGATTAAATAGTCAGAAATCATGAAATCAAATTTCAATATTCTTTGACTTGTAAAAACTGAACTCTAAGACTCAACTTCATTTGGTTCAATCTTTGTGAGGAACAGACTGCACGTTAAATACATTCTAACATATCTGAACATTTTTTGATCTCGGAATCCATATATTAGAGGACTGAGTAGCCTTGGAATAACGTTAGCCATTAAATAGGAACTGAACAAAATCGTGCTTCTATAGTTTGAGAACAGTGCTAAGAAAAAGTAGTTTATAATTGGAGTAATATAGCCAAGCATACAAAGAAGGAGCTGCAGGCCATGGAGCAAAATAGTGTTCCGGGCTTTTTTGGCAGAAACCTGATCAGAGGTTGCAGCTTTAGTTGCCTGAAGAACCCTGAAGTAAGTAAAGATCAGCGTCATCCACACACATGATAAATAAAGGGACTCTACAGAGATTGTTCTGATGAGGTGCTGATTTGTGTTAAAAAGACTCTTAAAATAGCAAATAATGGATGTTGAAAAAATACTGATGGGTTCATTCACCAAAACAATAATGATATCAGTTAGTGCAGGAATAGAAGACAGAAGCCATATCAGGCCGATGAGGATGTAGGTCCTGTTCACTGTGCAAAGCTGAGGGTAATGCAGCGGTTTGCAGATGGCAATGTAGCGTTCCAAGGCCATTCCAGCTAGATTCAGTGGAGTGTTTTCTTTAGTTGTTGTGGCGAACAGAAGCAGAAAACTGCAGACTGTGACATTCAAAAGAGGTACAGTATAAATGAGGACATGCAGAGTAACTGAAAGGAAGAGCATAATTATGTCATTGATGACGAGGTGAATGTACAGAATGTATCTTGTGTCGGTGTAGAAAACTGGATTTTTAAAAAAGGCAATCACAAAGATTCCATTGATGTAGGTTATGATGCCACCCAACCCAACTGTAATTAAGTTCTTCATAAAAGCCTCTTCAAAAGGATTCTGGCTTGAGTTCATCCTCACTGCAGCAAGCTTTGGATGAATTCTCTTATTAACCTGTTTAGTCAAAGAGAAATACGCAAAATATTTGCTGAGTAATTTCTGTTAAATATTCACAGAGGATACTTCTTTTTAGAAAGAATTACAGAGAAGACTGTATCAATAGTAAACAAAGGATAGAAACATTGGATGTTGCCTCTAGTAAAGACTCCAGCAGATGTTAAGCTGCTACTTTATACTGTTATAGGCTCTGTTATGGTAGCTTGCTTTTCCCTTGTGGTAATGACAAAAGCAGTCAAACCTAGAGGATAACAACAACATGACATTCAACACAATAATCCTCATCTCAAGAGTACCAAGAAAGTTTCATACTGAAACATAAGGCAACAGGTTTTACTCCACTGTGAATGTCTTATTTTTAATCAGCTTCCAGCTTAGCAAGCAAGCAAGCAAAGTTTATTTATATAGCACTATTTACAACAAGTGTTGTCACAAAGCAGCTTTACAGAAAAATCCGGGTCCAAGCCCCCATGAGCAAGTCAGTGGCAACAGTGACAAGGAAAAACTCCCTAAGAGCAATAGTTCTACAACTCTCTAACAAATGTTCTGAGTGAAACCATATTAACAAGGAACTATATAACAATTTCATAACACTTCTCCCCTTTTTTCTCCTTTTCCCTCAAGTTTTACCCATAAAAGAATCATTATAGGTAATTTATCAATGGCTATTCTAACCTATGCATTATAGAAAATAGCAAATTTAAAAAACAAGTTCAATCAATTTTGAACAGTGCAAATTTAATTAACAACACTAAGTTTTTTTTTCACCACAAGAATGTTTTTTTTTATCATTTTTAGTTGTTTTTGTTTTGCTTTCATCCTTTTTTTCCATTAGCTTAGTCACAAAGTGAGTCTAACAGGAGGCTTGTGTTGCCTCTTGATCATTCTTAGTTTATCAGCTGAGCCTACCTATCATTCTCAGCACTGCAGTAACACTGATGTGGTGGTGGTGTGTTAGTGTGTGTTGTGCTGGTACGAGTGGATCAGACACAGCAGTGCTGCTGGAGTTTTTAAACACTGTCCACTCACTGTCCACTCTATTAGACACTCCTACCTTGTCAGTCCACCTTGTAGATGTAAAGTCAAAGACAATAGCTCATCTGCTGCTGCACAGTTTGTGTTGGTCATCCTCTAGTCCTTCATCAGTGGTCACAGGACGCTGCCCTCAGGACGCTGTTGGCTGGATATTTTTGGTTGGTGGACTATTCTCAGCCCAGCAGTGACACTGAGGTGTTTAAAAAACCCAGCTCCAGATCCACTCACACCAGCGCAACACACACTAACACACCACCACCACGTCAGTGTTACTGCAGTGCTGAGAATGATCCACCACCCAAATAGTACCTGCTCTGTGAGGGTCCATGGGGATCCTGACCACTGAAGAACAGGGTAAAAGGGGACTAACAAAGTATGCAGAGAATCAAATGGACAATGAGCGCAGAAACAAGAAGGTGGTCATGATCAATGTATGTTCACAACAAGTAGGAGCATAATAACATTAAGATTTGTTTTTGACCTCTAGTGGTTTTACTTTGAAACTGCAGTATATGGGATTTAAGGGGGCCTAAATGGTGTCACACTTTTTTCAGTCAGGAATCTTATGAAATATTTCACTGTTAAAAGAAATACTAATTTAATCGAGAATAAAAATTACTTGCATAGCCTACAGTACACTGTGTAGTCCCTTACTGTTTGGCACTGTACAGTTGTTGTTGTTTTGGCTTTGTACTCCAGCACACTAAATCTAAAATCAAATAATGACAGTGCCACCTGTCACTTTTAGTTTTTGGCTATGTATGCTTATGCAAGACATACATCTGGAGGAACCTGTGTCGTATTTCTTGACTGCTTCCTGCTTTTTTGCAAGTTATAGAATTAGCCACAAGCTGTCATCTACTTCTACCTCTTGACCATGAATGGTAATGTTAGTAGCCTTTCCCATAATCATAACCTTCTTCATATTGAAATGAAGTGTTATCTTCTCATTCTGTTTTTTTTAAACTTACCTTACAAGAGCCTTTAGGTCTTCCTGATTTTCCACTATGTGTGTGTTGTGTCATCTGCATATCAAAGGTTATTGATGTTTCTTCTACAAACCTTAATCTTCAATCCTCTTCCTGCAGTCCTGCTTGTCTTGTTGTATGTTTGGCTTAAAGTTTTACAAAGTATGGTGATGGTGGGCAGCCTTGCCAAACTCCTTTGTCCATGTGGAACCTGTCTGTTTGCTCATTTTCTGTCATCACTGTGGTTTGCTGATCAGTGTAGAAGTTCCTTATTTGAACAAGAAGATGCTCTGGTATACCCATCTTCCTGAGGACATTCCTTAAATGTTATATAGTTGACACAGTAGAAGACTTTGCAGTAGCCAGTGATGCACAGGTTCTTCAAGTCCTTTTTGAATTCCTTGGCTTTTCAATTATTCAGCATAGTAGCAATCTCTAGTTACTTTGCCTTTCCTGAATCCTACTTGCAAATCTGGAAGTTCTTTTTCAGTGTAAGGCTCTATTCTGCGTTAAATGATCTTAAGCATGGGTGCCCATACTTTTTTGGCTTGAGATCTACTTTTTCCAGTGGACTGGTCATCGTGGTCTACCTTAAAAAAAGGCTGGCCTCATCCTTCTTTAATATTCAGCATTACAGGGCAAACCGCTCTAAAATCACACTAACCTTGTTCTGATGATTTACACAGAATAGTGTCAGCCAGGTTTGTGTAGTCTGGACAACTTTTTTCTTCCTGAGTTCACTTTTAGCTGGGAATTCATCATCGTAGTTTCAGTGTATAGTTCGAATATACACACCTCGACATTCCCCGTTCTTTGGAAGTGCCATGGCAACTTGACAGATCAAGCAGATGCATTTGGAGTTTGGAGTCCTCTTGCTCTGCATGGAAGAGGTATGTTTAACCAAATCTTCAGCATCTTGAAATATATCCACTGCAATGTTATCAATTCCTGTGGCTTTCTTTTTTTGCAGTGACATCAGGGCCTGTGTGACTTCATCTTCTAGTACTGAAAATTCTTCTCCCTACTCAAACACACCCACTAAACCTGACGATGAACAGATGAGACTCTTTTATTGAACAAAGCAGAAAAGCCACTGGATAACAGTGAGAACAGCGGGGGTCACATCTAGTCACAACACTTCACTCTACAATAGACACTAAACCCACAACAACTAACCTACTACACAACACAATAAAACACAGACAACTTAAACACAATTTAAACTAACAAACGACGAAATTAACAACAATGACGACATAACAAAATGTACTTTAAATGGACAGAGGAGGCGAGTGTGGTGCAGCTTTGCTACCCCTAAAGTCCTTGAAATGCAGAGCAAGTGGCAGATGCCACATAGCCGGTTAAGGGTCAGCCATTTCAGTGGCCCACACAGTTCCAAACAAAGTCTCAAAGATTTGCAGGAGCATGTCACCCCCCCCCTGTGGGGTCTCATGCAGCATGTGTTTTGGAATGTCCATTGCACTTTTCAACAAAATGCCATGGTGCACCCTCTCCATTGCCAAGGGTGCCCCTGACTCTCTCTCAGGTCTCTGTGTCTCTGGTGTGACAGTGCCTCCTGGACTGGTCTCTTGTTTGTGGTACTGGTACAGAGCAAGTCTGTTTTTTGTGGACAACAACAGTTCATCGCCCTGCCTGGACCTGATAAACTACCTCGCCCAGGCACTCTTCTACCACACAGGGGCCATCACAGCAACTGGTGTTTGGGGCACTCTGTGGCACAAGTTGTGCAGTCACCCAAGCCGCAAGTGAAAAAGGCTGTCCCTGGCAATGTGAGCTAAATGCCCGTTTCTGGAGAGCACTGGCTGCACCCTGGTGGTTCCTAGCAAGCTGATGCATGGCATGGAGATGGTGATGGAGCTCCTTGGCATGCCCCGCTCCAGGTGTGCTGTGCACCTTAAACTCTGGTGGACAACAAAAGACTTTCAAAACATAACACATTTCTGTGGGCATTTGGAGCTTGTGGCCAAACATATATAGCTGGAATAACACTGGTAGGTTCCTACATGGAGTAGAGACACCGCAGCAGCACTTGGGGAAGGTGTCATTCCCAATCGTACAAGTACTGGTCAGTGACTATAGTGAGCTGAGAAGAGCACATTCAATTAAAATACATCATGAGGTCATCACTCTGAGAGTAAGGCAGTATAGCTCAGGCAGTCACTGAGTTCAGCCATAACTGCTGCCTTGAAGTTGTGCCCCAGTCACTGTGGAGCTTCTCCGGCACTCTGAACCAGCAGAAGAACTCCTCAACTCATCACACCGCTATTAAGCTTCCTTTCTATTACCAGCACCAGTATATTGTGGCATCAGCTCAAAAGAGGAACCAAAGGATGCCCTTTTTCTGCTCAAGGAAAATGCACCTTTATTGAACAAAGCAGAAAAGCCAATGAAAAAGACAAGAATAAAGGGGGGAGGTCGCTTGTAGCCATACAACTTCACTCTATGATGCAGAAAATCTCAATTATTCCACTTTTGAATTTCATGGGCTGTAGCTGGATGAAGGAGTATGTTTGTGGAGATTTTACTTGGCTTTGAATAATGTATCTGTAATGTATGACAAAAACAGTTTTATATATAAATTATATATTGATATGCAGTCAGGTTCCTTATATTCATGTTTATAGTTTGCTACATGCTAAAGATGACAACATTGGCATTATGGAGCTATTACGAAATAAAGAGTAGGCATGTGAACATTTTGGCATATTTTAAAGTTGTGGCTGGTTCTGCTAAGTGAAACGAGGTGAGACAGGGGACCCATGCATGATTTGTTTTTAATAGACCAAATATTCCTACTGTCACGCCTAGTAGTATACTGTTAAAACTTGTTGGTAGTGTGCATTGCTGAAAAGCTAATGCCAAACATGTGGAGACACATGAAGATTTTACACCTTTATCTGGAATAATTTCAAAGTTACACAAGTGTACACGAAC